TAAATAAATCAATTAAAATTCAAAAATTATAAAATAAACTAAATAAAATAAATAAATAAAAATTAAGAATAATAATAATAATAATTATAAAATTAGTGGGTGTTACAAAGGAGATTGTCTAACTTCTTGCGAATGACAGGTTTGTGGAAGGGTTTTTAAGTCTAGCCGCTCCCTTGACCCGACTTACGAAGAAAAACATCAAATTTGAATGGAAAGAGTACCGTGAAAGGAGCTTTTTAGAACTCAAGAAATGGTAAACTACTGCACCAGTTTTAGCTCTTCCAAGTGGGATAGGTGGATACACAGTGTATAGTGATTCTTCCTACTTAGAGTTGGGTTGTATTCTGATGTAGCACGAAGAGGTCATAGTCTATCAGTCCACATAGCTGAAAAGTCATGAAAAGAATTATTCCACCAATGACATGGAACTTACTGTTATTATCCAAGCATTGAAGACCTGACACCACTACTTGTATGAGGAGACTTTTGAAATTTATACAAATCATAAAAGCTTGAAACATATATTCACCCATAAGGATCTCAACATGCATTAGTGGCATTGGATGTAACTCCTCAAGGACTATAATTATAAAATCTTGTATCACCCAAGCAAAGGCAATGTGGTAGTTGACGCGTTCAGTAAAAAAAATACAAGTATGTTGGTTTACTTAATGGTTTCTGAATATAGGATAATAGGAGTTCTACAACAGATACACTTTCAGGATTTGAAAAGGGCTACATATTTGACCCATCTACCTGTTCAACCTGAACTGATTCAGAGAATAAAGGAAACCCAATTGACTGATTCCACTCTAGCAGCTCTCAGAAAGGATATAGAATATGGTATAAATATAGAATTTTTAGTTTTTGTCGATTTGTTACTCAGGTTCCAAGACAGGGTGTGTGTCGTAGACAATAATGAACTAAAAAGGGATATTATAACGGAGACCCACAGCTAAAAGTTCATCATGCATTTTAGAAGTACTAAGATATATCAAAACATGTAACACCGATTTTAGTGGAGCATAATGAAAAGAAAAATTGCCGATTTCATCTCCAAGTGTCTTGTATGTCAACAGGTTAAGACAAAACATCAACGCACAGATAGGTTACTTTAGCCATTATTAATTCCATAGTGGAAATTATAACATATCACTATAGATTTTGTAACAGGGTTGCCTAAGGAGCGCTCGAAGCATGATGTTAGCTAGGTAATTGTTGACCGATTCACCAAGTCCTCTCATTTCTTGGTCATCAGAATGACCAACCCCTTAGACAAGTTAGTAAAAATCTATATATGGGAGATAATCAGGCTACATGGAGTTCCGATAACAGTGGTATTCGACAGGAACCCGAGATTCACCTCTTAGTTCTGGTCAAGTTTTCAGCAAACAATGGGAACAAAACTGTCCCACAACACAATGTTTCACCCTCAAACAGATGGACAGTCATAACGAATTATTTGTACATTGGAGGATATGCTCAGAGCTTATGTTCTAGACTTCAGAGGACATTGGGATGATCACCTACCCCTGATAGAGTTCGCCTATAATAACAGTTACCAAGCAAGTAACGGTATGACCTCGTATGAGTCATTTTATAGCTGATCCTGTAGGTTACCGATCTGTTGGAAAAAGATGAGTGATAGGAAATTATTTGGCTCAGACCTCGTAGAGGAGACCAAACTAAGATAACTAAAATAAGGAAGAATATCCAGACAGCTCATAGTAGGCAGAAGAATTATGCGAACACCCGAATGAGAGATTTAGAATTTGAGAAGGGCGATCGAGTGTTTCTTAAGGTCACCTCCTCTAACGGTATCAGCAACTTTGGAAAGAGGAAAAAGTTAAACCCGGGTTCATCGGACCATTTGAGATCTTGCACAGGGCTGGTACATCCACCTACAGACTAGCACTACTTCCAGAACTATTCAGATTCCATAATGTATTCAATGTATCCATGTTACGTAAGTACAACCCAGATCCCTCGTATATCTTGTCTTATAAGCCACTTTCACTCTAGGAAGATCTATCCTATAAGGAGGTACCAGTAGATATTTTATATCGGAAGAACATAATTTTTCGCAACAGAGAAATTCCATTCCTCAAGGTCTTATGGCAGAATCACGCGAATGACGAGGCCTTTAGGGAGCTAGAATCGGACTTCAGAGTTTAACACCCCTAACAAT